CAGTTGTTTTGACAGGTGAAACACATAGCTAACGGCTAACAGCTAACCCCAGCTACAATTGTTTTGACAGGTACAACACCAAGCTATCGGCTAACTGCTAACCCCGGCTGGACTTTGAGCTTCTTTCCGGTGGGTCCGGTCGATAGGGCGGCCGACTAGCAGCGAACCTATCTGGAGTTGGAGCTGGTCCGGAGACCCGTGTGAACCTGTGGGCGGTACCTGGGAAGCAGAATGTGGGGCATTTGCAGCAGAACTGTGGTGAGTAACGCAGCTTCAGCCGGCAAACCAGTTTGCTCTGGCTGACAGCCAACTGTTTCGCTGACTGAAATGATTAATAACACGGACTTGACAGCTGTCTCCTCCGTTATTTCAGACTGCGGTGACAAACCGGTTAAAGTTGGGCAACTAACTCATGCTGTGCAGCGGAGGAATTCAAGCTAGCTCGCTGTTAGCACACTTAGTTAGCTCCTGTTGACGTGAGGCAGCTAGCGGTGTAGCTAATGTTTAGCTAACTCAAGTGGGTGAAAGGTGATGTTCTGGCGAGCTGAGATTAAATATCGCTACAAGTCACTAAAGGGCAAACTAGGACGGGGTTGTATTTCATTTGGCGGAGGCCTGAGTGTGGTGGGAGTCATAAATGGAAGATGATGAAACTGTAGTGTAATTATAACTTGACGAAGATTCACCAGCTTCAACAACAGACACTGCAGAAAACTTCTGTTTGGTGATTTTCATCTTGAATCACGAGGATCCTTCTGCTCCACCATCCTCGATTTGCCTGGAACTTCTATTACTCATAAACTGAGTGTATTTAAACTGATGTCTGTTAAATTTTAGCTTTATATATGGAAAAACAACAACTTTCCTACATAACATGGAAACTATGCAGAGAGAAATCAGACAAGCTCTAAATCTGCTGACGAGGACGTTGATGGAGGAAAAAATGCCTCATTTGCAAAATCTTTACTAGTTTAGTTGCACTTTCATCGTGAACAACCGTCTTGATTCTGTTGTTTCAGAAGAAGCTGAACAATCAGTAGTTTATTCTGCTGCACGTCACTCAAATACCAACAAAAGGACAGAAAACAAGATCATCTGTCATCCAGCGTCTTTACTGGTGTGCAGATAATATCGATCTGGACTCTGGGGGGATAAACATGTTGTGTACAGAGAGCGTTAATCAATGCATTTACTGCAGTTGTGTTTAATTAAAACACACATTTCTTCATGAGAGAAACTAGCGTCACGATAAAGGAGAAGCTCGTCTCACGTCATGAGAAAAAACTCTTAAGTCAGGAGAGAAGTGAGAGTTTGATTATGAGGGGAAACAAACATAAAACAGCATTTTATGAGAAAAAAATGTGTTATTTTATTTTTTTAAAAACCAGGTGAAGAGTTCATTTGCAAACACAGATCACTCTATCCTTACAAACCTTCAGAAAACCTACTTTTCCATCGTCTACCTGAGACAACATCAATCAAACTTCAGTTATCTCTACTGTTGTCTTTTCTACTGAGTCAAATCCACTCAGCTTCAGTTTGACTGATATCATCTCAAGCAAACAACAACAAAAATGCGTTTTCTGAAAATCTACAAAAATGGATCTGTTTTTGCAAATGAACACTTCAAGTGTTACTTCATCAAACAAATGGGTTAAATTATGAAAGAAACCTGCATTTTTTTATGAAATAAAATGCATTATTTAAGGATAAAAACTAGTGGACCATAGTGGGAAACACCACCATAGGAGAAGCTCGTCTTACGTCATGAGAAAAACTCTTAAATCACGAGAGAAGGGAGAGTTTGATTATGAGAACAAACAGCGTTAGTTAGTGTGTGAAGGGGAAAGAAACCTGACACAGCATTTTATGAGAAAAACAGTGTGTTATTTTAATATAAAAACAAGTGTTACTTCATCAAAAAATGGTTAAATTATGAGAACGAACTGCGTTTTTAATGAAGTAAAATGAGAAAACCCATTATTACGTAATGAGTCTGATAATTCATCACATTTAGAAGATTCTGATTCAGCGTAATCAGTTTTATAAAGTCACTGAAGTGTTTTAATGAACCGTCGTTATGTTTTTAATCACATATTAGAGTCTGAAGCCACGTTTCTTATTCCTGACCACAGACATGCTGACAATAAAAACTAGTGCAGATTCCTCCAGTTGTTTTTCTGACACCATGATCTGACTTTAATCTCTTCTCTTGCTCCGTCTGATGAATCAGAATCACGTTATTGATCCTCGATGGAGGAACTGCTTCAGCTGCTGCCATTCAGGTCATAACCGTGAGCAGACGGCCTAACGGTGAAATGTTCTTTCCTCAGGCGGGGATGGTGAAGCCCTGCAGACTCATGAGGCCGCGTCACCTGGTGAAGCCGGTGTCGGCGACCCGGGTGGCGGGCCGGTACCTGAGCCACCAGAAGGGGCTGCCCGGCCTGCCGGTGCCGCCCCTGCAGCAGACCTGCGAGCGCTACATCACGGCGCTGGAGCCCATCGTGGAGGCCGAGGAGCTGCAGCGCACCAGGCGGCTGCTGGAGGACTTCCAGAAGGCCGGGGGGCTCGGAGAGAAGCTGCAGAGAGGCCTGGAGAGGAGGGCGGGACGAGCCGAGAACTGGGTGGGTTCATGGACCCTCAGGGCTCGTTGTGGGAATAAAAGGATTTACTCTGGTCCTCGACTCAGTATCAACTCATCAGGTTTCTGCTCAACCATCTCTGATTAGACTGAAATTTTTACAGCCTAAAATCTGGATACTGATAAAGATATTTGTGAGATTTTAGCTTCATATGTTAAATATTTTTCGAGATAATTAAAAAAAAAACAACAACTTTAAGCACCTTTTCTCACACATTGAAATTTGATTGGTTGAACATCAACATCTGAGGAACTATTAAAGATCAAAACCTGAAACTTTCTCTGTTATTTCTCATCATGTCACTGATCCAGAATCTGTAATACCGGAAAAATAAATCAAATAATCTCTGATTATTGCCGAGTTAAAGTTCGACTCTCTGCTGATATTTTAGTTTTTGTGGTTCAACTCGTCAAACCTCAGTTATGAAAGTTCAATGAAAAATATTTATTTACGTTCTGATCAAGTATTTCATATTAAAACTATTCTACATGTTTAGTTTTGTGTTATTGTGACCTGCAGCTACATGAGGTTCAGAAAACATCTCTAGATGACTTCTGCTTGATCAGTTCTTTATTAATATGAGCTCAAAGATGGAAGTTTTCATGACAGATTTTTCTTCCTCCCCCATCATCAGATTATCCAATATGTCCAACATGACAGGTTCTGGATCAGTGACGTGATGAGAAATAACAGAGAAGGTTTCAGGTTTCTATCTTTAATAGTTCCTCAGATGTTGTTGATCAAATAGAATCAGATTTAAATGTGAGAAACAACCTGCTGACAGAAGAAGTGAATCAGAGATGGAAGAACCCGCCTGACGTTTTGTCTCTGGTGTATTTTGAAGCCATTATTTCTATTCATCTCGTCTGTGTCTGTGTTTGTGTGTCTGCAGTTGTCCGATTGGTGGGTTCAGGTGGCTTATCTGGACTACCGGCTGCCTGTCGTGGTTCACTCGAGTCCCGGCTTGGTTTTGCCCCGTATGAGCTTCAGCGACAAGCGTGGACAGATCAGGTGACGGCACACGACGTAAAGATGCCTCAAGTGTCACATGAGGTGTATTTAATCTGCTTCGTACCGTTAACGTGTGTGTTACTGCTGGGAGGTTAATGAACTCACAGTCTGTGTGTTGATTAGTTTTATTAGACGCTATAAACGTACAAAACTGTGCAAAATAAGATTATTTATCCAAATCCTTGTTGTTTTTATTCAACACTTATTGGTTTTGACTGAGCAGACGCCTCCCTGATGGATAAGAATCTATTTTAAACGCCCTCATGGTCACTTTTAGCTCATTTAATAATAGAATTAACTCCAACATTATTTTATACTAAAACTCGCCACCGCTCTCTGTGTTTCTGCATCATCCACCTGAGCTGTGCTGTGATTAATTCATGAAGGTATCAGGCCCTTTATTCACCTCCATCACTAAACTAGAAGGATGTCCATAGAACCAGCACTAACGTTCTGTCTCCTTCAGATTCGCCGCCAAACTGATCGCAGGTGTTCTGGACTTTAAGACGATGATTGACAAGTGAGTCTTTAAAATGTTCGTTTTTGTGTTTCTGGGATTAAACTTTTGTTATTACTGTTGCTAAGCTAACGAGATTAAATCCAGAAAGTGTTAAGAAATCGTATATTTAATAGATAAAGATGCAGCTAAGTTCCATGTTGTTCCCGTTAGCCGTCATGGTTTTTGTTTTTAGGTTTCTTTCGGACACAAATATAAAACCTGCATCTTTAAAGTTGTCTGTATGTGTTAAAAAAGCTCCTCTAACATCCTTTTACTCTCTGTGTTGATGCCCATCAGCAGCTGTCGGTGGTTTTCATTCAGAATAAGTCCCGTGTGTCGATCTTTAGCGTTTACCGGCAGAGTTTGTGTGTTTTCCAGTGAGGCGCTGCCGGTGGAGTATCTGGGAGGGAAGCCGCTGTGCATGAACCAGTACTACGAAGTCCTGTCGTCGTGTCGTATTCCTGGTCTGAAGAGAGACTCGGTGGTGAACCACGCCAAGAGCTCGAGACCCCCGAAGCACATCACGGTGGTCCACAACCACCAGGTGAAGCTCTGGAAGCAGCAGGCTTCCTTCTGCTCCAGCAGCTCTGGAACCTGTCCATCACAAACTACCAATATTCACAATGTTAGCTGTGAAATGTCAGCTTCATGTGTCAAAAACCTTCCGAGAGGATTTGTTTTAAAAATCACAGAGCAGTTAGACACATCTTGTTACAGATTTACTTTTTTCCACATTTAATAATCACACCAGAGTTCCCAGTGTGTCATGAGGTGATGGTTCCTGTTACCTGAACTAACAGATGATATTATAATGACTACGAAGTGAGTGCAGACAGACCAGGCTCACATAAAGTTGCTAATATTTACCACCTGTTGAACTGAACCGGACTCACCCTGTTCGTGTCTTTCCTCCACCTGGACCCAGTTCTTTGTCCTGGACGTCTACAACGACGACGGATCTCCGCTGACTGCAGATCAGCTCAGCGTTCAGCTGGAGAAGATCTGCAGCGCCTCATCAGGAACCAGCTCCGAACCCGTCGGCATCCTCACCACCCAGCACCGGGACACCTGGGGGAAGGCCTACGCCGGCCTCGTCAAGGGTGAGCCCATGGACCACCGGTTCTGTCACCGGTCTTGTCTAACAGACGTTGTGATATCAAGGCCTTCTGCAAACATGACGTATTGCTCCACAGCTTTTAGGAACTGTGGTGGTTAAGAATCCAGACCTGCTGGATCCAGTCAGATCCAGTGGTTTGTGGGTTTATCGTTCACCTGCTGCCGTGTGCTTCGTGTCGTCCAGATAAGACCAACAGAGAGTCGGTGTCGGCCATCCAGAGGAGCATCTTCACGCTGTGTCTGGACGGAGCGACGCCGCCGGTGTCGGACGACTCGTATCGCAGCTGTGCGGCCGTCCAGATGTTGCACGGAGGAGGCAGCCGGTGGAACAGCGGCAACCGCTGGTTCGACAAGACGCTGCAGGTCTCCTGATCTTATGCACATGTTTGATTGATTTAAAATGCTTTTACTGTCCAGATCTCTGAGTTAACACACCTCAAAACATCAGGGTTCTTGCATTTGCTTCAAATGTTTTTATCGTAAACTCTCGATGTTTAAAATGCTTTTTGTGAAGTTTTAGATTAAAATATCAGTTCAGGATGTGCAGGTTTTTTACACATTGAAATTTGAGGCTGAATGAAAGTATAATATATTAAAACAAGGCTAAACAGGACAACAAGTTACATGATTAGAGTTTAGGATCAAATAAATGTAAACTGACGACCACTAAGAACGACCAAAAGCCAAAGAAAACCTGCACGTGGAGGAGCTCTCCTTACCCACCGGCTCTGACTGTTAACAGCTGTTTTTAGAGTCTCAGGGGCCTCAAGGGGCAAAAAAAGGTCCAAAATTGCTCCCAGGTGCCAACACATGCAGCTAAAGCTATCTGTGGTCAGACCAGGCTGTCGACAGGAGGTCTGCTTTGGAGAAAGCTTCTGTCAGATACGATGTCGTTGGTGCTGGACACGTAGTCGGTCCAGTTGGTACTTCAGCGTTCTGAATGTTTCTGGTCTTTCTCACAGTTCATTATTGGAGAAGATGGAACGTGCGGCGCCAACTATGAGCACGCTCCGGCTGAAGGTCCGCCCATCGTGGCCCTGATCGACCACGTCGTTGAGTTCACGTACGTCGGCCACAGATTGTCTACAGCAGGGATCTCCAGCGCCGGTCCTGGTGAGCTGCTGTCCTGCAGGTTCTAGACGTTTCCGTGCTGCCACACACCTGACTCACATTAACGGATCTCCAACAGCTTGTTGTCAAGTTCTACACAAGTCTGTTGATGATCCATTCATGTGAGTCAGGTCAGGAAACGTCTAAAACCTGCAGGACAGTAGCTCAGGAGGACCGGAGTTGGAGATCCCTGCTCTAGTGTTCACGTTCTGTGGGTTTGTCTTCAGGGTCGGCAGCGACACAGAGCCTGAAAAGAAAAGCACTGAACGTGTTTTCTGTTGTTTGTGCTGACAGGAGGAAGCTGGAGTTGGGTCAACCTCCCACCGGGTCGCTGCCCACGCCTCGGAAACTACACTTCAACATCACAGCGGACATCAAGAAGGACATCGAGGAGGCCAAGAACAGCATGAACACGTGAGGGCAGCTTTTCTGATGTTTCTGCTGATGTACCGCCCTGTGAAAGAGCATTTATGGGTGTGGTGGCCTCCCTCACTGCTCTCTTCCATTTCTTAATGATTGATGTAAATGGACTCCAGGAGATATTCAGTGACTTGGACGTTTTCTTTCTTTATCTAACTGACGTGACTTTGTAGAAACCTTTTACATGAAAGACAGTTCATTTGGATCCTTCATGTGTCTGGATTGGTCTCACTGTCCTGACGTCTTTCCCGCCGCAGACTGGCCGACGACCTCGACATGAGGGTCATCGTGTTTGGCCACTTTGGAAAAAACGTCCCCAAAGCCCACAAGATGAGTCCCGACGCCTTCATACAGGTGGCGCTGCAGCTGGCCTACTACAGGTGAGACGTTCAGACTTTTTGTTCTTCAGGTTCTCAACCAAGGAAAACATAAACCTGGATCTCACCATCTGGCTGCAGTTCAGATCAGCTATCTTGTTTTTTAATAAGTCACGTGAGTAAGAGTCAGACTGAGTGAACATCTGATTAAAGTCTGTTGTACTCATCAGTTCAGATTTGAAGGTGAGGTCAAGTGTAAAGCAGATAACAGGAAGCAGCAGCAGTTTAAAGCCTCTGCCCAGCTCATGTTAAAGTGTTAGCCTCTTAAAGGTTAGCAGCACTGTTGGTCCCACCTTCGTCTCCTTGGAGACGCTCGTGGATCCTGCTGCTGTCTGATTAATAACCTCAGAGGAAATAGTCCTAAACAGCTGCTGTTAACGAGGTAGAAAAGACTCTGATTAACCACTGCTGAGTATCGTTAGTGTTGAGGTGTTAGCGTCTGTTTTCATCACAGTACAGCTTTATTTCTATGGACATCTAATACTGTAGCCTAATAAATAGGAACACTTTTGAAGTGAATGTGTTACACAGACTGGGCGTTAGGCCTCTCTGATGTTGTTGGGCTGATATTTGTGCTGAAATGTGAATAAATCAACTAGAAAGTACAGTTTTTTGTGTGCGTCTGTCAGTTAATGTGATTGTTCAGTTTAAACTTGTGATGAAGTGTTTTTAGACCTGCTAAGGTAGCCAGAAAGACTTTCATGGAAAAGTAATCAGGATGTTTATTCAGACACGAAGCCGACGTGTTCGGTTCCCGTCAGATAAACAGAACAAACTCTAAAGGAGGCTTTAATAATTTAGGAGCTGCAACTCAGCACGAGGAGCCTTAATGCTTTTATTCTAACATTTCATCATTGTCAGGGTTTGAAAAGCAAAAAGGGCTTTGTACATAAAAACTGTGGCATCTTTTCATGTGTGTTTCTGTGTTTGATCAGGACGTACCAGCGCTGCTGTGCCACGTATGAAAGTGCCTCCCTGAGGATGTTTCGACTCGGCCGTACGGATACGATCCGATCAGCCTCGAGTGCCTCGGCCTCCTTCGTCAGAGCCTTCGATGACTCCAGCAAACAGGTCTGCAGCCATTTTGGCCCTGAACCGATCAACTCACGTTAAAACCTCTTTGAGAGTTTTATCAGTCGGTCTAAGCACAGAGCGGTCAGGCTCAGAGAACACAGTATGTACAGAAAGCATTCACCCACCGTGGAAGTTTTCTACTTTTATTGCTTCTCAGCTGTGAATCCTGGTCAATTTAGTTTGGCTTATTTGATAGGAGCGCTGCAGAGAAGCATCCACCTACATGATGCTGCCACCGCCATGCTTCAGGGCGGAGTTAGAGTGGGTCAGAGTGAAAACAGGTTTCTACAAAGCAATGCCAGTTCATTAAAAATATAAAATACTAAGTGTTTACCCCCTTTAAAGTCACTTTACAAGAGTTAAAGGGGTGAAAATGTTCTCTGTGTCGAAGCATGATGACGTTTAAATACTATTTTTAAAGTTACATATAGTTTTATGTAAACTTTTCACATTGACTTGAACTCTGTTAAACACTAAACAACAATAAGATGTGTCCTAAGGTCTCTGTCTTTGTCCTGCTTTGTACAGAACACAGAGAAGGTCGATCTAATGGATAAAGCTGTAAAAGCCCACCGAGCGTACACTAACATGGTGAGTGGACCAGGACTCTCTGGACCAGGACTGGACTGGTGATGTTTTATGTTTCTGTTGATGGTCACAAAACCAAAGTGTAGAAACAAC